ATATATATATATATATATATACGTGTAGGCGCCCGTTTGATTCGGCGTGGGAATTAAAGCACGGCCTTAGTCTCTGTCCCTCCCTTCGCTCGCTGCACCATGTATTGTGTGTATGCTAAATCGCTCGTTTGGGAGTTGAAGAGTAACCCTATAGAGCCCGAAACAGGCGTCTCCTCCGTAAATAGATACTTAACTGTATGGTTTCGGGTCTCTCTATTGCTCTCTGTTTGATTAATAAAAGAGTGGGTAATTCCAAGGTGCGTCATGGATTAGAACGCGGTATCTGCACCAAAGGTCAGCCTTACACGATCCGATGCCGCGAATTGTTGAAAAAAAGCACCGTGTCTTTGTTTGCTGCTTTTCCAGAGTATTTGAGTGTATAATAATATATATATATATGATGTAGGTGCGCGCGGATGATAAACAACTCCAAACTTGTCGCCGAAATATTTCCGGAGACCTGTGCAAACGGGAGATCTCCGAAAGCCCCGGGACTTGGAAATGGGCGGGCTCTCGGGGTGTGTGGAAGAAGAAAGAGGAGAGTTGGGACGCTACTTTCCAAAGTCTCTTCGCGATCCGATTGCCGGAGCTGAGGAATGCCATCGAAGCCCCGATGAATTTTTTTCCTATGGGGTATGTATTATATTCCCGAACAAACAGACGCGACCCATCCGCCTCTCGATAGGGGAGAAGCCGACCAACTTGGGGAGTTACCCCTGCGCTAGGTAGGTAAGAACATCCCCTTCGTCATGTCCGTAGAACATCCTCGACTTTGGGATTTCTTTTCGCGATGCGTTTCACCTGAAAGTTCCCTGCCGGCTCGACGATTCCGGTGCGTGTGCGCGCGTATACCTTTTATAAGTACTATAACTGCCAAAAGAGCTAATTTGCCTCTCTTCCATGTTCGGCCGACGACGAACGCAAGGACGGACGTTTTTCCCGAAAATCCAATTTATCGCGCTCAAATTGCTTTCGCTCCTCCTTCGAGTCGACCTAATTATAAATTAAATCTACATTTTAATGGAGAGGCGCTCGGGAGGTGCAACGGGAGCTTTCCGCGACAAAATGAATTTTCCCGGCTGCAGCTAAGAGTTCGTTCTTACATCGCGTGTATATATACATATTATGTGTTTTAAAACGACCTCTCTCTCTCTCTCTCTCTTTGGGGGGAAATTCGATTAACAAACGCGTGGCTGTAAAAACATGACCGAGGCGTCGAGGCTGGGGATTACAAAGTCGGAGGCTGTGCTACTTTGGCGACGGACCTGATTAATCTGCCCCGAGCAGCCCTTTCCCGTATACACACGCGTGGTTGAGATAACGGTATTTCTTCTTTTTTTTCAATTTCCCTCCCAACACCGCGGGATCTATCAAGTTTTCTACCCATCCGTGGAAAATTTTCGTTATACGCTTCGATAACCGAGGCGTATGCAGGCACGCGCTGTGTATCTTACAAAGTCTATACTCTGCGAGTTATGAAGAGAAGATGCCTCAATACTGCTTATGTATTTCAGAAAGAAAGTTAATTGGGCTTTGTAAAATCAAAGTTTTGCGAGCAGCACACCTATACATGAGCGTATACAGTTGAGAAACAAAAGTTGAACGAAGGGTTAGTTATCGGGAAAAAGCTTCAACAAAAACAAACTACACCCCGAGTTTTGCGCTCGAGTAACGCGAAAAGGAGGTGAAAAGGAAAAAAAAAAAAAAAAAAATGGTGCATTTCATAAACTCTCGTTTGCACAATCGAAAATTTGAACCCTCCTCTGCCCCTGCTTGCACCGATGCAATAACCCTCAAGTTTTCCTTTTTCCGCGTTCTGCGTCTCTCCTCTCCTTTTCCGCATAATCCACGCGAAGCCGATTATGATGATTATTATTAATAAGCGCATAATCCCGGCACTGCACTCTCCTATCGATCGCAGCTTGGGCTGACTCGTCCCCTCGAAACTCGACGCGAAACTCGACTCGACAGCGAATTTCGTTATTAAGAAGAAGCGCCTAAACGAAAATTTATTGAAAAACTTCTCACTACGCGACCTCTGCGCCGAGCTTCACATTTCTGCTTCGCTCGCCCCTTATGACGTGGTTTACAAAAATGTGTTGTGTAAGGTTTGCTGGTGCGCTTTGGAAAACATCACAAAGCCCGGCCTGAAAGGGCTTTGCAATGGAAATGAGAATAATTAGTTTCATTAGGCAAAGGAGGGAGGGACGGCTTGACTTAATTTGCAATAAAAATTTTTTTTTTTTTTTTTTAATTTGCTCACCCCTGATGGTAGTAATACATACTTGAGCCAAGTTGATTAATCTTGGCAAACTATTCTTTCGGTGTGATGGGTACATCTACGCTTGCTGGCTACAAATATACTGTACAGCTCGTTCAATGGGATTCTCATGCGTATACGATCGTACTTTTTATTTTTTTTTTCTAATAAAATCCTCTCTCGTCCCCCACATTTGGTAGAAATAAAAAATTGGAAATCGGCATACGGGAGACGAAAAAAATAAAGATCTACCGTGTACACGGGGTGCGAGCCGGTCTCCCGTTATAAATCGTCGAAAGAGGGGATATCGCGATAAGACACCGTCGAGGCTTCTTATCAAGATTTCCACTCGCCGAGATTTCCCCCCCCCCCCCCCGCGCTTTTTAAGGAAATCGTCGCCGTATACGTGTACATATATATGTATGTGTGCTCCTTCGTCTCCTTTATCTGGCCGCGCGCGTTTCGCAAAAGTACGCGATCTCGATGCCGCGGGACGCACGAGCCGTAAAAGTAAATACCGCGAAAGCCGTACCTGCACCTGTGTGTACACTTGAAAAATGGAGTTCGGGAGGTCAGGTTTTACGAAATCAATTTTGTAAGGGTATACTCCTACTCGACCTAAAAAAAAATTTTTTTTTTTCCTCTTAGAAATTAAATACACGTTTTGGCGGATTTGGTAAAATAAAACGCGTACGGTGATACTCGTTCACCAACAGAGTTGGAATTAATCGACGACGCACGGGGAATCGGAATACCGCGAGTAACAACGGGGCGGGGGACGAGAAAAAAAAAAAAAAAAAAAGAAAATTCAAATTCCTTCGGCCAATTCCACGACGGGCGACCCCGTGTTCTGTACAGGATAGCCTGGGGGGGCTCGGTGCGAGCACACAATATAATTTTTATACGGCGCGCACATCCTCCTCGTTGTACAGTCGTCGTCGCATGAGTCGCCGGACAAACCAGTTCCGAGCTAAAAGTGCCTCGCCGCGTACACAATGAGCCGAGGGTCAAGGGATGTATATATACATATGTATATAAATTCCTCCTCCTCGACTCCCCCGTAGCTATCTTGTATGTATATATTATGTGTATAGGTAGTGTGCAGTCGTGAGGTGGGTCGCTTACCTTTTTGAGGTGTCCCTTGCTCGTTCCCAGGAAGACGACGGTGTAGTCGCTCGTGGAGGTCGCAGCCACCGCTGTCAGCAGGGTGTCGTCGAACGTGAGCACGGGGGTCGCGGTCATTGGGTCCTCGCCGCCCAGCGGCGTGTTCACGTCCAAACCGCAAAAGTCCTCGCCGATCGTTTGCAGCTTCTGTAATGGACATGAATTTTTTTTTTATTCATTATTATTTTTTGTTTTACCATAACGTCGTTAGGGGTGAAAATAACAACTTTTGTGTACACAACCATAATACATATGCACACGAGTCGTGTTATTTTATTTTATTTTTTATATGCTCTCTCTCTGTTTATTGAAAAGTACATTAAAATGTACGTACACTCACTCACTGGTGAATATACATGGGGGGGGGGTACATAACACGTCCAACAGCAGAGGCCGATATCGTTGGAGTGAGAGGAGCGGGAGAATTTAATGGACAAATAAAACGTACAATAAAAGGTGAACCTGCGCGCAAGCGGCGGCGACGGCGGTGAAAAGTTACGGTGCAGAAATAAATATTAGAATACATTTGTAACCAGACACCCGGCCAATATATCGATACGTGTAATCGGAAAAATTTTACTTCATATACACACGTGTACATATATATATATATGTACATCTGTTACCGTGTATACCTACTTGGAGCTGCACGTGACCGTATGCATATACATACATAGGTACGTACACTCTCGAGCCGTCAACCAGCGTTCCCAAACAAAATTAATTTTCAAGCTCGATCTTTCACGTTACACGTATACATAGGATATATCATGTATCCAGTTTCGCTTAATTCGTGATGAAATAGATAGACACACTGATTGGTCCCGGGTATATATACCTACGGAAAAAAGGCCTATATATGTTGATTTTTTAATACACCAGCAGCTCGGCTCAGGCTTGTTTATTGTTTTTCCGTCTTTTTGTGCGGTATTTCAAGACGCGAGGGATTAGAGTAATCTGACCCAATCGTGTAGGTATACAGGTACAGATACGAGCGAGAGCCCCGATATCGTGGGCTTGATTTTTAGTCATCGTCGTCGCATTGCACTTAATTACAGCAAATTACGAAATGCGATGTTCAATTAGGATTACATTTGTCCCGCACAACTAAAAAATTTGCACGAAAAACAAAAAAGAAGGAGGGGGGGAGGTCCAAAACCCGGGCTGATTACGCTGACGGTAAGTAAAAATGAAAATACCCTCCCCCCCCCTACCTGCCTCCGTGTCTTTTGATTATCGTTTGCAATCCCCCGATAATCCACGCGAGAATAATAACTTTCGGAAAGACGAAAGGGAGAGGGAAAAAAAGAGGAGGAAACAAGAAATCGGAGGGGAGAAAAAAGGAATGGTGATTCGAACGAGGTGGTATAGGGTCCGTATTAAGCGCGGAAAATTCATTTCCCATGGCAGCAGCGGCGCATTTGAATTCTCGGGTCTATATGTATCCGCAGTGGCTCCACGAATCGACGAAAGCTTTTCTGCGACAACGACGGGACACTGCACTCGATGAATATACATATATACCAGTGTAGTGAAAAGGAGGAAAGAAAAAGAAGCGAGAGAGAGAGAGGAGAAATCTTCGTGTGGCAGTTTCATCGTCTCTCCCGCTGTCGTCGAGAATCACATACACGTGCACACACGCTATATATAGGGAGAGAGAGGACGGCCAGAGAGACGTAATCCGAGATTCAGCCCGGGGTATTACCTGTATATATGTATATATATACATAGGTACACCCACACGGCACGGACTCGCCAACTTAAAGTCCCGTTCTCGTGTGCTCTGCACTGCAGCTCTTCGCATTCAAATCGCATCCTCGCGTGCACAAAAGGTGAGATGACGGGGACTGTACTCGCCTTCTCAGCTCCTCTGCCCGTCCTTTCTCGAGATTTTTCCCCCTTTTTTTTTTTCTTCTTCTTATCGTATCCTTGTCCCGGCTCTTTTCGCTCGCATCAAATCATATCAAACGCCTTTTCAATATCTCTCGGAATAACCTTTTTTTTTTTTTTGTTTATTTAGTTACATGTTTTTCGTACACTGATTTATAAGTTACTTTTCAATTTACGCCGATATTTCGTAAAACATTATGTATTGCAATGCATTGACTTCAAAATAAACACATTTGCCTTTTTATGTTTTTCTATTTCTTTTTACCAACAATATTTCCGCGCTTTTAAAAGCATTGAAGCTTTCCCGATCCGCTTTTGATTTAATTAAATTTCACGCGTATACCCCCGCAAGCGTCATCGGCAATACCCGAATACTTTCCAGGTGGTTAATTAATGAACGAAATTGCAAATGTTCAATTCAATACCTGCCACTCGAGTAATAAGTATCGAGGGGACGCCAATCAAATGTAATTCGTGCTCGAAAACGTGAAACACGAAATCAGAGGCAAACCCATACGTAAATAAATAAAATACAACCAAAATCATCGTCTCACTTTTTTTTTACTCCGTTTCAAATTGCGCGTAGAGATGGAAAGAGGAACGGAAAAAGTCGTCGGGGACACAATGCGCCCCCGTATCTCTCTCGCGTAAATTTTTCAAGCTCCGGGCCAGACGGCACCGTATACATATACACCCACATCAAGTATACTGTACCGCAGTGCAATTTTCGGAGCGCGCATTTGTTAAATGCACGAGGTGCATTACAATACGCGTTCTCGCGCCGGGATGTCCGCTGCACTCAGGGAGAGAGAGAGGAGGAAAAAGTAAAAGAGGCAAGCGCGACACGCGTGCATTGTACAATGGAAAGAAGGGAGCACTAGGAGAGGCAGAAAGGAGGAAGAGCTCGAGGGGACGGAGGAGGAGAACAAGTCAGAGTCGACTCTATTTACATTCCTCCGTTCGTTCGTCCTTCTCTTCCCTGCCAAACAATTATTTGCATTCCACGCTAGACCCATATCCACCACCACCCCCCCCCTGTCCCTGGTCCAAACGTGTGTACACGTATAGGTGGTATCTATGGGCCATGAGTATGGGTATACACATATGGAGCTCCGAGAAGGGGCAATTATTGTGGCGCAGAAAACGTTTGTATGTATATACGGGTGTACGATAGGCCTGAAAACGAACGAGAGGGTGGATGCTGCGTAGGTGGCAGAGGAGGAGGAGGAGACGATGATAATGGCAATGATGATGATGTAGCGTTCCTCGGCTGTCGCGTGGGTGAGGTCTTTCTCGTGAGTATAATTATCCTTTATACGCGTGTCGAATTTCTATTTTGTTCCGTACGGTGTTTCTTTGGTTGGTATAGGTATACCTATACCCTACACGACGATTTCGCACGGGTCACGGTCGTTAAGGAGATACGAGCGAAGCTTGAGCCCATTTTATTTTAATTTTTTTACTTGTTTTTATGTATACATCTATTGAATTTACCCACCTTTGCTAAAAAAAATGTGTAATGGATGCAGACACGTACCCTATATATACTCTCGCGTTACGTAGTTTTACGAGATTTGCATGAACGGCGAAATTATGGTAAGGGCTCGTTAGTCCTTTTTTTCTTTTTCATCTCAAATTCCTGTATCTTCCGTTCTCGTACGTTTGCCGAGGTAAGCTGGATTTTTCTAAAACGCAATTTTTTTCCAACAAATTTCCCGTAAGCCACACCAAGTAAGGAGCAACGAGAGGACACTAGAGAGAGGCTGGAGGGGGGATTTCGATGTCACATTAGCTTGAAAATTTATTCCAAGCTCCAGCCAGCAGGCGAAAATCTTTAAATACGCCTTGATATACGCGCAAATTCTTTTTTAGTAATAATTAGAGCTTTTACTAAGAGANAGGTAAGCTGGATTTTTCTAAAACGCAATTTTTTTCCAACAAATTTCCCGTAAGCCACACCAAGTAAGGAGCAACGAGAGGACACTAGAGAGAGGCTGGAGGGGGGATTTCGATGTCACATTAGCTTGAAAATTTATTCCAAGCTCCAGCCAGCCAGCAGGCGAAAATCTTTAAATACGCCTTGATATACGCGCAAATTCTTTTTTTTTTTTTTTTACCTCCTCATTCTTTGGTTCCTTGGAAAAAAAAGGGAACTAATTTCGAGCGAGCTCTGAAATAACCCGAGAGCTAGGAAGACTCATTACGCGAGCCCGAAATTTCGAGACTCTTCTTGTCTTTCATTTTTCTAACAATAAGCAAATACGCGCTGCCACTCAAAGTGCCCCATGCGAGACGCATACGCGCGGAAGGGGGGGGGGAAGAAGACTCTCGGTTCTTTTTCCGCGCGAAGAGAGAGAGCACAAACGGAAGTCGCGGAAAACGCGGCTCTTCGTTTTCCGTACACTCGTTTCGGTGCTGCTCTGTTTACGAGTAAACATTGCGTTTCGAGAGCACGTGCCCCGGCTCCACGAGTTTCTTTTCCCCCGCGTCCCTTCGCTCCACGAGATTGGCGAGAGAAGCGTAAAGATGCAGCTGCTTTGCTCCATACGTACGTACACATGTACGCACGCATTTGCATTATATTCGCGAGTCGGGGAGGGGGTAAAAACTCGGATTTTAATTGGAATTCCGAGTCCCGCGCTCCGTATATACGTACATACCTTAATACTTGCCGCGAAAGCACGTAAGTAGGCTTCGAGAGGAGCTTCTCGCGCGTAAGTGTGTGTTTTTTTTTTTTTTTTTTTTTTTTTTTTTTTTTGGGGGTAAAAAAATTCCCCCCCAAAGATTTTTTTTTTTTTTTTTTTTTTAATTTCTCTTAACTTTTCTGATGGATTACGGTAGAGGACATCAATAGTAAGCAAATGCATCTAAAATGAAAAAAATCTATCTAGNATACGTACATACCTTAATACTTGCCGCGAAAGCACGTAAGTAGGCTTCGAGAGGAGCTTCTCGCGCGTAAGTGTGTGTTTTTTTTTTTTTTTTTTTTCACTCATCGTTATGGAAGCTCTCGCGACTCTGAAAAATACTTGGATCCAAACGAGTGTTTGCTCGTGGAATTGAAAGTGCTCCTCTTCTCATTTTGCCACGCATTGGTTGCGTCACTGCGCCGTCAAAATGAAAATAATGTACAAGTGTCACCGCAATCAAGGGCGAGTGGCTTCGAGCATTACCTAATGATCAAACAAAGAAAAAAAAAACGCTTTTGACGTGTACGTACATACTCGGAAGAACAAAAAAATCATAGCTCTCGTATT